CACGGGAACCCATGCCAGCCGGGGTGTGGTTTGAGCAGGCATTGCCCCCCCCCCAGCGCCCGCCACGCCCGATTTCCCGGGAGCTCTGCTTAGCTGCCAGGGGGGGAAGAGGCTCCCTCTGTCCCTCTCCTGCGCGAGGCTGGCAGGCAGCTCCAGGACGCTGCCTCCTGGGCAGGGGCATAGCCAGGGGGAGGGAGCAGGGGGAGCAAGAAAAAAAAAAAAGGCGCCACCCGCTGTGGCGCTTTTACTCACTTGGCGGCGCTCCGGGTGTCTTCGGCCGCGGGCCCCTCACTCGCTCCGGGTGTCTTCAGCCGCGGGCCCTTCGCTCGCTCCGGGGATCTCCGGCTGCGGGACCGTCGCTCGCTCCAGGGGTCTCCAGCCGCGAGCCCTTCGCTCGCTCCGGGGGTCTTCGGCGGCACTTCGGCAGCGGGACCCTCAGTGCTGCCAAAGACCCCCGGAGCGAGTGACGGTCCCGCCGCCGAAGACCCCCGGAGCGAGTGACGGGCCCGCTGCCGAGGACCCGGAGCGCCGCCGAGGACCCCCGGAGCGAGCGACGGTCGCGCCGCCGAGGACCCCCGGAGCGCCGCCGGGTGAGTAAAATAAAACGCTGCAGCAGGTGGCGCCTTTTTTTTTATCGCTCCCCCGGGTGAGTAAAAAGGCGCCAAGAAATTGACAAGGCGCCACCTGTGTTCAGTGGGGAGCGGCCGCTGCCCCCAGCTACGCGACTGCTCCTGGGTCCTAGTGCCCGTCACATCATCTTCTATGGGTGCTGGGTCCGTTTCTGGACAACTGGTGAGTGCCGGGGGGGTGGAGGGGGAAGGGGCAATACCAGAGTGGTAGGGTGGGAAGCTTGCACAGAACCTGCACACACACTATCCAGCTCCAGCCAGAACGATTGCCCCTCCCATAGGCGCTGACTTGTAATGGCACCGGTGGGTACTCGACCCCGCCCCGACTCCATCCCTGCCCCGCCCCATTCCAACCCCTTCCCCAAAGTCCCCCCAACTCCGCCCCCTCCCTGCCCCTATTCAACTCCTTCCCCAAATCCCCACCCTGGCCCCGCCTCCTCCCCTGAGCGTGCGGCTCCCCTCTCCTACTCCCTCCCTCCTAGAGCTTGCTACAGCTGTTTGGTGGCGGGAAGCGCGTGGAGGTAGGCGGAGGAGCGGGGACACAGTGCGCTCAGGGGAGGAGGAGATGAGACCAGGGGGCGGGGGGAGTTGGTTGCTGGTGGGTGCAGAGCACCCACTAATTTTTCCCCGTGGGTGCTCCAGCCCCGGAGCACCCACGGAGTCGGCACCTATGGCCCCTCCCATGTATAAGGAACAAATTCCCACACATTTGTAGGAAAAACAAACCAAACCAAACCATCCCATTCTGGATCCCAGTCCTTTAACTTTTACAGACCCTTCCAGCGAGGGGCTCCAGCGGTCTGAGCACTGTGTTCAACACTGTATTGAACTGTACTAAAAATCAAAGACATCCAATGTTTTTCTTTGACGTATTTTTCTGTCCTGGGATGCACAGGCCACCAAGTTCTTCCTTTATGCTCAGCCTAGTTCCACAGGCCAACGCAGCTTTGTACTTTTATGGGGTTGCAAAACTCAACACACAATGTTGTAGGTTTCTCCCTCTCCTCTCCCTCAAGGATTTTAAATCCACTTCTTAGCAGGCTATGATAGAAAGACTGGCTGAATAGGCTAAAGGCAGGTTCTGTCCATTTGCTGGTTCTCTAGCAGTTCAGTCCATCATAAAAGTACCTCACATTTGATTTCTTTTGAGTTTCATTCCAAACACTTAAAGCTAAATAAACCTGAAGTTAGTCCTCATTTTTCTGCCCCACCTCAAACTAACTAACTTTCCCAAGTGGAAAATGTTGGGTGAGCCTGGAATGTGATTCGAGAAGGGAATGAGAAGACAGGCCAATTCCGGCGGACAGGTACACCTGGGTCGCCTTATTGACTTCAGGGAGAACAGATTTTTGCACAAGAATAGATTTTGGTCCCTTCTGCTTTTTCACACCTGGTATCAGCAGAATCTCATTCACTTTCCTCCCCTAAGCTCAGCGCACTTTAACGGGAAAAAATAAGCAAGGTCTGCTTGATTTACACCTGCAAACGAAACAGAAACTCTCCCTTCATTCCACACCAGCCTGAAACAAACCCCAGACCTGCTGTAACAAGGGACTACAGAAGCCTTGGTTGGACTTTCTTTTGGGAGATCCTTAATGGTTCTTTTAAGAGGCTGATTTTCAGTGAAGTCTTTTTTGTTCAGGGGGGCAGAGAAGACAACAGGGAATAGCTCTGTTTTGTCAACTCCTAGTCATTCGAAAGCCGGAAGGCTTTAGATGGTTTGTTTAATGTTTGTACAGTGATTTTGAAGCGCTAACATAGTACAGAAGGGCTAAATATTATGACAGGGCAACCGTCTAAAGATCTGTGTCCCATCTAGCTGTTACCTTTTCCTTACCGAAAGCTTAAAACAAACAAATGCAAACGGTCCTGCCGTGAGTGCAGGGGACCGGACCTCTCCAGGTGCCTTCCAGTCCTATGATTCTAGTCTATGATTCTACTGGTGGCAGAGCTTGGGGACAGAGTGGCGTGATGTGGCGCATCACTGGAGATTAGCTACACAAACTGGGTATCATCCCACAAATAATATTTGGGTACAATGTGAAACCAGTAATTCATTGTCCTCAGCCAGCGCAACACTGGGAGGCAACGTTCAGAGCAAGACAGCCTAAAATACAATGCCACCTAATGTCATTTTCCCACTACTACTTCCTCTACTTCAGTGGATTTTACACCTGGGTGGTTTTCTTTTACATCATAAAAGCTGGCTGCCTCCCAGACTGCAGTCAGAGTGAGATGGGGTGTGGGGGGCCATAGCTTGGGGGAAACACCTGCAGGGCTCGGCTTTGCACTGTGCCAGGGGAGAGCTGAGGGTAGAAGCACCAGGTGGAAAGAGGTGAGCAGGATGGGGGATGTTGCAGGTTCATCCTCAGACGGATGAGCACTCCACTACCTAGGAGGAAGGAGGCCCAGGAGAAGGCCAGCGTAGCATCCCTCCTGCTACCTCTTACTCAGAAGTATCTGTTTGGATAATTGAGTGTCATGAGAGTAGAATAAACTGGTTAATTTTACATAAATAAATAATATGTAAATGTGTATGTAGTTTGACTTCATCATTTTTTTTGCAACATGTAATTCATACTTAGGCCCTTCCCTCCCATTAGCCTTAGGCCCCTCGTAACCTTCCTCCGGCCCTGGCACCTCCCATTGTTCCCTACAATGCCAGGTAGTTTTGCCTGCTGGCCCCAGACGCTGAAGAACTTTCCCATCTCTCCCAGGAATAGCTGCCTTTCTGAGCCAAAGGACAGCAGTGCTGCTCTTGGCTTTTAAATCATTGGCTTTTACAGAATAACTCAGCCTGTCCTCTGCGTTCAGAGGAGAGGTCCTGACCACAGCTGCTCCCAGGCCACTTCTTGGAGGAGTGAGAAGGCAAAGCCAGGTGTCCTGGCCTAATTCCTGTCCTGGAATCTCACCAAGAGGGGAGTAAAGAGATTGACAAGGCCACATGTAGCACGAGAGAAAATGCCAAGGAGGTGCATTCTTAGGGCTTGGAAATCTACCTCCCCCAAGCCTAGAATGAAGACCGTGGACAGACCAGCTAATTGCCTCCCAGCTTTGCATGTCATTAGAATTCAAGTTGCAGCCCATGGATCCTGAGCCAAATTTCCCCAAAGTTTGAAGAAGAGACAATGATCTGCTCTGCTGTTGGAGAAGTAGCAGCCCGGTGTGATGTTGGGCTTTGAATTTCCCTGAGGCTTGGGCGTGAGTCTATTCTGGTCTGTTGGGTCAGACTGTTGTAGACTTGGGAGCCAGGTGGGGAGCTGACCCCTAAACTTAGATCTGGGCCCACAGCAAGTGATAGGCAGCATCTATTTGTGTTCTCATCAGCCCTGAATTTGATCTCGCCAGATTTGATAGCAGCCTTCAACTACCTGAAGGGCGTTCCAAAGAGGATGGATCTAGACCGTTCTCAGTGGTGGCAGATGACAGAACAAGGAGCAATGGTCTCAAGTTGCTGTGGGGGAGGTCTAGGTTGGATATTAGGAAACACTATTTCACTAGGAGGGTGGTGAAGCCCTGGAATGGGTTACCTAGGGAGGTGATGGAAACTCCTTCCTTAGAGGTTTTTAAGGTCAGGCTTGACAAAGCCCTGGCTGGGATGGTTTAGTTGGTGTTGGTCCTGCTTTGAGCAGGGGGTTGGACTAGATACCTCCTGAGGCCTCTTTCAACCCTCATCATAGAATCATTGAAGATTAGGGTTGGAAGAGACCTCAGGAGGAGACCACATCTAATTGTCTGTGATAAGCAGCACAGGAGTAGGACTGAGGAGGACAGTGGGCCAAAGCCTGACACAAGGTGCTTTTGAATGGACCCACAAATCTTATTTGTTGTTTTTTTTTATTATTTTCTCTGGAGTCTGGACCTTAATTAAAACTTGACCAAGAACTTGGGCCCTTGACCGAGTGGTTACGGCTGCAGGCTTGGCAGATTCCCTGCACCTGGCCAGGAGCGGGTGGCCCAGTGCAATCGGCCCCTCCCTGGGGGCCGGGACCACGTCTCAGTCAGCCCCAGGCCCCGCGGGCGCTCCTGGCTTTCCGCCCTGGGGCAGGCCGCTGGGTGCGGCTTGACATGGAGTAAAATAACCCGAAGGCGCTTCCCTGAGCCCGAAAATCCTCATCCAACGATTCAAAACCAACCTCCCCCCGCGGCGTGCCCCAGCCGCACCTCGGCGGTGACCCCCGGCCCTGTAACACACCCGCCCACGTGCACCCCTAGTTCCCCGGAGCAAAGCCCCGGGCGCAGCCCCCTCGGCTGGCGCAGCGCGCCCGGGCATCTCCCCCCCGCCCCCGGTCCCTCCCCGCCCATGTGACCGCGGCGCCTCTCGGGTTACAGCGCGTTCGCCGCCCGCCCGCTCCGAGCCCCACAGCCGAGCCCGGCGCCGCGCACGGAGCAGCGGGTCCATTTTGCATCGCCACACACCGGCTCCGGGCAGCCCTGGGCTGGGGGCGGGGGCCGTGCCTGGGCCTGGGGGGCAGAGCGCGGGTATCTGAGCCGCTCCCCGGCTCCCGGACCCCACCATGGCTGCGGAAGGGGGGCTCGCTTCGGCTCGGGGCTGAGACTGCCCCTGGCCGGGGTGAAATTGACAAAAGGACGAGGCGTGAGATCGCTTCGCTCCGAGCCCGCGGATCGCTTGGAAGCGCCGCGCTCTGGCTGCGGCGGGGGGCGGCGGGGCTTTTTGGTTTCGCTTTAATCCCAAACTGGATCCCGAGGAGAGGAGCTGGAAGCTGAAACGCTCCTGACATTTGCCCTGGTTTCTGGTGGTTTCCCGGTGGATTTCGCCCTCCCCTGGATTGCACCATCGCTCTCCATTGCCCCGGGCTGTGCTGATTATGGAGACAGTGGAAAAGGAGTGCGGGGCCCTGGGGGGCCTTTTCCAAGCCATCGTCAATGACATGAAGGTAAGATCCCCCCCCCACCCCCACCCCAACATCTCCGGCGTGACAACTCGGCTGCCTCCGCTCCCTGGCGGAGAAGATGGAGGCGGGTGGGTCTGCGGTGCTGGAAACCCAGTAAACAATATCCAGGCTGCGGTGAGCGCTGAGCAGCCCCTGGGCACCTTTGGGTTTGACTCCGGATTCTTCCCTGGCGGAAAGGGCCCCAGAGCCGCGCGCTGCTCCGCGGGCACCCCGGACTCCCCGTTCCGCGCAGCGCTGAGGTGCCGGTAACGGGCCGCTCCCGCGGACTCACCTGAGCACTGGCTTTGGGACGTGGGCTCGAGAGGGAGCTGGGGGGACACTTGACAGCGGGGTTTAGAGCTGGCTGGGGGGGGGGGGAGAATGGGCTGAATCTTCTCAAGGCGCAACATTGCTGGGTGTCCTGGGCCCTGCCTCAGCCGGGGGCTGGCCTGGGGGTTCTCCAGCCCGACCTGTCTCTGATTTCCCTGCTTGGGGTGTTTGGAGGAGCCCTGAGGCCAGCCAGTGCTGTCACCGCCAAGGCAGGGGGGGATCAGTCTGTAAAGCCTGGTGGAGAAGGGGATTCACTCTGCCCTGGGGGTGCAGGATGCTGAAGGGATTGCCCTGGGGCAGCGGGGAGTAGCGCAGAGCACAGGGGCTCTGGCCCCTGGCTGCGAGAGCCCCACTCCGGCCTGCCATGCTGAGGGCCGCCGGTCCCCACGCCTGCGCCCAGGTCAGGGTCGCCTGGCCGGGAGTGGTGGCGAATGGGGACGGTAACCAATTGGTGGTTAATTCCCACACTGAGAACAGGGGGCTTTGAGAAGCCAGACAGTCATGTCTGCCTATAAAATTCTCAAGCACTGACGGACTGGCTGGGTCTCAACCATTCCCATGCCCAGCCGCTGCCCCCCAGGGCCGGCCAGCCTGGGATCTGGCCGCTTTCAAACCTAGGAAGGTAGAATGGCCAGCCTGGCTCAGAGCGCAGTCCAGCTAATGCAGTCTCCTGCCTCGGTGGCCCCAACTAGCTGATTGAGGAAAGGGCACAGCACTGCATTGGTCTTCTCCGTCCCTTTCCCCGGCTCGCTTTGCTATGGGGCTCCTGTGGGCAGTGGGGTGGATGGGCTGAGCAAGTGCCTTGTGTATTTTCCCTCTGCATTTGTGGGACAGAGGTTGGACCGTGTGCTCGCTTCCCCGCCCCCTCCCCCCCGGCACTGTCCGGGCTCCTCTGTCCCGCTAGCCTGGCGAGCAGTACGACTGGCCGACTGCCACCTCGGCCCCCTGCCCCACGTGCCTGTCTGTCTGTCCCCTGCTGGGCGGCGTTCTGGGCCGCCTGGACAGATGCTGCCATTAGTTCAGAGGCACCTTGTTACTAAGCGCTGCTGGAGCTGGAGAGACCTGACCAGTCATCCTTGGTGTCTCCCCAGGCCCGCCTGTAGCTGCTGGAGGGATTCTGGGGTCTACAGAGAGAGAGAGGTGCCAGCTGGGACGCTAGAGCCAAACCTCCACAGCTGCGGGAGCCTGCTGGTTCCTGTCCACCCTCCCTGCCAGCTTTCGAAATGCTCCCTGGCCTTGAGAGTCCATCTCTCTTTCCCCTGGCAGCCCCAGCCCTGGGTGTATTTTCTCTGCCTCCAGGCCCCCCTGCCCACCACCCTGCTGGGCTCCCTGCTCTCCAGCAGGGGATGGGTGAGTTGCAATGCCACAGGCGGGCTCAGCTGCCTGGCAGGGCTCGGGAATTGGCTGCACCCCTCGGTCAGTTCACGGTGGAAGAGCTCCGGGTTTAGACCCATAAGGCCGGTCTTTTCTGTACCTACCTAGTAGGCTAAGATCTGCGTTGGGCCAGCCACAGTCTGCTTCTCCCTCCCACTCCACTGTGCCCTTTCCCCACGCTGGCCGTGGGGCTGGGCGTTGGAGCAGCCCATGCTCCACAGGAAGCTCCAGCTCAGTTGGGGAGTGGGTGCAAGGGGCACCAGGCTTGTCCCATTGCTGCAAGTGCAGCTTTGCCCTGAAGACCGGCCGCGTAGCACTGGCTGTCTCGGCACAGGGCCCCGTGCAGTGGGGATCGCTCTGCTGCGTGCCAGTGTGTGACTCCAGCCAGCCCCACAGGAGCTGACCTGGGGTTCGGGGCGGGGGGGGCGGTGAGCTGGGTTCCAGGCCGGACTGCAGGAGCACCAGAGCTGTCGCTGAGTGCTGCTCCGTTATACCTGGGAACCCGTCTGCACAGCCCTGAGCTGGCCCAGACGGGATAACAGGCCTGCGGGTGCTACAGGAAAACTCCCAAGGTGAGCTGGCAGGGCTGGCCGCTGGGAGAGCCAGCTTCTTCGGTATCATCGGAGCTGCAGGCAGCGAGAGGCAGTGAACGTGGAGCCGTGTACACCACGTCTTCTTGCAGAGCAGACTAGCCAGCCGGGGCAGGCCAGCATGGTACCTGCACCCAGGAGCTATATGCTCTGGGGGAGCCGAGGGAAGGCTTTCCAAAGCTAGAGGGCGTGAGGTGGGACCCCTGGAACCAGCCACGCCAGCTCCCCTCCATCGCCAGGGCCCTTGGGTATTTCTAGTTAGAATGGCTCATGTGCAGCCTGGGAGGGGAGATGCCCTGGAGTTCTCTTCCAGGCTGGTGGCAGAAAGGTGGCTCGTGGTGAATAGCTGGAAGGCGCCAAGTTCCCAAGGGGATTCGAGGCAATGGAGCAGGGAATGCGTCATTCCTGCACAGAGGGACTCATGCCCTTCTCTCTCTCCCGCCTGTCCTGGGCTCCGAGAAAGGCAGCTCGCCTGCTTTGGAGACGCTGTGCCGAAGCTGGCGCCCCTCCATTACGCTCTGTGGCCTGCTTGCAGCGTGGTAGAATCTGGCCCCTCGAGAGCCAGCGTCTTCTGTGGGGAAATGACCCGACTTCTCAGTGAACTGTTGGGGCCTGCCTGAGCCAGGGAGAGCCCGGCAGGAGAGGCCTCCAGCGGAGCCCTGGCTGTGCTGGGCCTCCGGGCAGGCAGAGGGGGGCCAGGGAGAGAGGCCCAGGGGATGTCTGAAGCAGGGCAAGGCGTGGGGAGAGCACTGTGGGGCCTCCAGCTCCCTGCAGCCTGGATCCCTGCAGCCCAGCCGCTGGGCTCTGCTGGGCCTCACACTGTGTCACAGCCCATGTGTCGCGACTGCCGCCTGCTCCTCCAGCGCTGGCCTGGCCTCCTCACCCCGTCCCGCCACCTGTGAGAGCATGGCCCACCCTGCCCAGGTCCCCACCCTGCCCACATCTGGGAGAAGCAGCCACCCCTTCGCCTGGGCACCCGGGGGCGGGACGGTGCCAGCCAAAGAGCAGGGATCACATGGGGCTGCTGCTGGCTGCCTGCATAGCCCAGGGCCAGGCGGAGGAAAGGTCCTGGGGGGAGAGGTAGAGAGAGGGGGATCTCTGTGGGGGGGGGCCGGGGTGTGTCAGAGGGGATAGGGGGAGGAAGAGACCACAAGGCTCTGCATTTTCCTATGCCCTCTGGCACCCCGGCACAGCACTGCAGGTGCCCCATCTCCCCCCCCTCCCAGGGCACTGACGGGTGGTCACTCACAGCTCAGCAGGAGCCCCTGCCATGGAGAGGAATTTGGCTGCTCTCCTGTCTCTCTCTGTCCAGGATCCACGTGGCCTCCAGGGCCCTGCCTTGCACCACAGCCTCACTTTGTACACTCAGTGTTCCCTGGAACAGCAGCTGCCCCCAGCCTCCAGTGGGTCCTGCCCCCCACCCTGCCCTCCTGTGGGCACCTGCTCCCCCTCTGGGCACTGACCCAGCACCAGTGGTGGGGGTACATGGGGGCTGCTCCCTGTGGGGGGGCATGCCAGGCTCAGGGGTGGCCAGGGTCCAGCTATGGTGCATCCCCTCTGGGGGTAATACTCCTACTCGAGGGCTGCTGCCCCCTGCTTATTTGGGGTGGCCCGGGGGTGTACCTGCCAGGGTGGGGCTGGCTTCACGCTCTCAGAGGCTTGAAATAACAGTTCCCGGGCAGGGCTTTTTGTGGCACGTGGTGGGCTTGGCACAGAGCTCGAACAGAAACTCTGCCTCTGCTGTGGGCTGGCCCAGCCCTGGACATGAGTTGCTGGGGGGCACTCTTAGGTGTGGACTAGCTGGAAGGAGCTTGGAGCCCCCCAGAGCTGGGGGAGGTGATTAGAAGAACTACCTGAGTGTATCTGGGCTGAAGGCGCATCCATGCGGCTACCTGGCTGCTGTTCTCCTCAAGGAGCAAGAGGACTTGACTGGGCTGGACCAAGGGACCCTGGGAGGAGACGGAGCACAGGGAAACCAGCCCAAGGTCTGGAAACAACGTTTGAAGAGCTTTGCCCAACAAAGCCCCTACTGTCTAGCGGAGCGTGCGACTGTCTGTCAGGGGAGTGGTGGGAGACTCATTGCCTGAGTCACTTCAAGCCAGATGGGGCAGAGCGCTGGATGGAGGGACAGCACTGCATTGGCTCGAAGGGAGCAGACGCCCTGATTGAATGGCTGTTTTCCAGCTCTGATTCCTGTGGTTCCGCAAGTCAGCTGCTCTTTGGAGTCTTTGGCTGACAAAGGCTGTGACTGGCCAGTTGCTTTCCTGAGGCGGGTTCTTGTGGCTTGTGAACAGACGTGTACACACCGGGCCAGACTTCTCCCCACACCTGGGAGGCAAACCGAATGCAAAGACTGCCCAGTGGGTATTCGGGTGCTTTGTGTGTGCAATAGCACAAGCACATACACGCCCCTCTGTGTACGTACACACCCCATAGAGACCACATTGCATCCCTGCCACACTCGGTGCTATCAGCTCCACCCAGAGGAAGCCAGACTGATCTCACGACCCGACTTGGCGCCTCTGGCTTAGCACATGTGTGAAGTGCCATGAGGGGGTGTGGCGATGCCATTGGAGGATAAAGGCTGCGTTACCCCATGCCGGCTGGCTACCGCTGCTGTTATTTATACCTTGCCTGAGGGGTAAGTCGGCTTTCCAGCTGCATGTACCCCCCCCCCCCCCGAGGGATATATTTAGCTATAGGACACGC